ACCAGGGCTACAGCAGCACGCTCCCAACAGGATGGTCAGGCACGTGTCCCACGACAAGCGACTTCGCATGCAACAAGAAAATCATCGGCGGGGGAATCTTTTCCGCGGGGTTTGAGAACGGCGGCACCACCATCGACCTCTCAGGCGACTGGAAGTCGCCGCGTGATTCTGCCGGGCACGGCACCTGGTGTGCGGGGTGAGTGTGTGCGGTGGGTGTGTGCAGTGTATGGTGCATGGGGTATGGTGCATGGGGTATGGTGCATGGGGCATGGGGCATGGGGCATGGTGCATGGGGCATCGGGCATGGTGCATGGTGATCATTTGCCGGCGGCATGATGTATGCCCTGCCACACATGCATGTTCCACAACCATCGCTCTCTCCACCTTCCCCCTCACCCCACCCACCCACCCTCACTCTCCCTTCCTCCAGGGCGGCAGCAGGCAACAACAACGTGCCAATCCCCAACATCGGCGCGGCCAGCGGCATGGCGCCAGGGGCGCGCCTGGCCGTGTACAAGATCTTCTGGCAGACCAACGGATATATGTACGCCACCAGCCCAGACATCTTCTCAGCCGTTGATCAGGCCGTCGCCGACGGTGTGGATGTGCTGAGCCTGTCGCTGGGCGGAGCCAGTCCCACCGACACCTACTTTGACGACGTGCCCTTCATCAGCGTCCATGCCGTGAGTGCCCTTCATCAGCGTCCATGCCGTGAGTGCCCTTCATCAGCGTCCATGCCGTGAGTGCCCTTCATCAGCGTCCATGCCGTGAGTGCCCTTCATCAGCGTCCATGCCGTGAGTGCCCTTCATCAGCGTCCATGCCGTGAGTGCCCTTCATCAGCGTCCATGCCGTGAGTGCCCTTCATCAGCGTCCATGCCGTGAGTGCCCTTCATCAGCGTCCATGCCGTGAGTGCTTGTACGGTACATGAGTCTTGTCCATGCAGTGACTGCTCGTGCTCTTCAATCATCAGCGTCAACGCGGTGAGTGGCTTGGCTGTGAGTGCTTGTGTGTGCAGTGAGTGCTTGTTGTACCTGTATGTATCCCACCATTCCAGTGCGTTTGTTGACGCGCCTCAAAGGCCAGTTCCACCGACACCTACGATGTGCCATTCATCAGCGTCCGTGCGAGGAGTGCTCCTCCTACCTCTATCCCTGTACTTTATCTATTTATTCCAATGCTTGCGCAATCAGTCACGTGGAGGGCCATGCTTGCGCAATCAGTCACGTGGAGGGCCATGCTTGCGCAATCAGTCACGTGGAGGGCCATGCTTGCGCAATCAGTCACGTGGAGGGCCATGCTTGCGCAATCAGTCACGTGGAGGGCCATGCTTGCGCAATCAGTCACGTGGAGGGCCATGCTTGCGCAATCAGTCACGTGGAGGGCCATGCTTGCGCAATCAGTCACGTGGAGGGCCATGCTTGCGGCCTCAGCCTCTCCTCTCTCCGCTCCTCTCCTTACGTCCATTCTCCCTCCCTTTCTCTCCTTTCCCACTCCCCCCATCAGGCGGGGGTGTTTGTGGCCTTTGCAGCGGGCAATGAGGGCCGCCCATCGGCCTTCGCAGCCACGGGCTATCGCACGCTCTGCAACTTCTCTCCTTACTACATGACCGTGGGCGCCAGGTGAGGAGGGGCGGTTGTGACCAGGGGGAAAGGAGGTGAGGGATGGGTTGAAACGAGGTGAGGCGAGGGGAAGGGGAAGTCCTCGCAGCCACGGGCTATCGCGCACACGCTCTGCAGCTTCCCGCCCTGCTACGACTGTGGGCGCTAGGTGAGGGATGGGGGGAAGGAGGCGAGAGACGGGCAAAGGCAGTGGTGAGAGGAAGAACGAGGTCAGGAGGTTGCATTGCACCCTGCCACAAGACCACGACACCCTGCCACAAGACCACGACACCCTGCCACAAGACCACGACACCCTGCCACAAGACCACCGCACCCTGCCACAAGACCACGACACCCTGCCACAAGACCACGACACCCTGCCACAAGACCACGACACCCTGCCACAAGACCACGACACCCTGCCACAAGACCACGACACCCTGCCACAAGACCACGACACCCTGCCACAAGACCACGACACCCTGCCACAAGACCACGGCACCCTGCCACAAGACCACGACACCCTGCCACAAGACCACGGCACCCTGCCACAAGACCACGACACCCTGCCACAAGACCACGACACCCTGCCACAAGACCACGACACCCTGCCACAAGACCACGACACCCTGCCACAAGACCACGACACCCTGCCACAAGACCACGACACCCTGCCACAAGACCACGGCACCCTGCCACAAGACCACGACACCCTGCCACAAGACCACGGCACCCTGCCACAAGACCACGACACCCTGCCACAAGACCACGACACCCTGCCACAAGACCACGACACCCTGCCACAAGACCACGACACCCTGCCACAAGACCACGACACCCTGCCACAAGACCACGACACCCTGCCACAAGACCACGACACCCTGCCACAAGACCACGACACCCTGCCACAAGACCACGACACCCTGCCACAAGACCACGACACCCTGCCACAAGACCACGACACCCTGCCACAAGACCACGACACCCTGCCACAAGACCACGACACCAGGGCCCAGGTAAGTAGGGGGGAAGACGAGGCATGACCGTGCATTCTCTCCACTTCACACCCTCGCCTCGCCCTTGCTCATCCCTCCCCTCACATCCCCCCTCTTCGTCTCATCTCTCGCCTGCTCGTCCCATCTCTCTCTTTCTCTTCTCATCCCCGCATAATATATCTTCCCCTGTGCCCCTCTCCCCAACCGCTTCAACCACCCAACACCACTGCCACACCCTGCAGCACCATCACTCGCAACGGAGCATCCATCTCCTCCACAACAGCGGCAGCCACATCAACAGCAGCGTCCCTCGAAACTCCCTCTAACACCACAACTCCCACAGCCCTTGCAGCAGCCACCACAGTGTCAACCCTCAACGGAGCGCGCATCCCAGCCAGCATCTCCCCAGCAGCCACCGCCGCCCCGGTAGTCGCCTACTTCTCCTCCACCGGCCCACTCGCCAAGCCCTCAGCCGCCACACCAGCAGCCTACCCCTCCAACACCATCCTCAAGCCCGACATCATCGCCCCGGGGGTCCAGCTCTACGCTGCTTTTCCCGGCAGGACTGTGGGCTCTAAGGGAGGGTTCGAAGCGCTTTCAGGGACGTCAATGGCCACACCGCACATCGCTGGCATTGCTGCTCTCATAATTCAGCAGCATCCTGATTGGACGCCCTCACAGATCATGTCGGCAATGATGACTACAGCAAGGACTACTAATACCGGTAACGGGGCGATTAAAAACGAGTATGGGGCTGCTGCGTCGCCGTGGGAGATTGGAGCGGGGCATGTGGTGCCAGCTATGGTGGTTAACCCCGGGTTAACCTATGATGCCGGGGAGCAGGACTTCAAGAACTTTCTTGCTGGGCAGAACTATAAGCGGGCGAAGGGTGAATTCGGTACGGCTTCCCTCAGAGCTCTCTCCGCGAAGAATCTGAATCGGCCAGCTATCTCGCTGCCCAAAGTGCACAACAAGGCTTCGGTTACACGGACTGTAACAAATGTTGCGGATACCACGTCAACGTACACAGTGAGGATCAAGAAACCTGCTGGAGTGAAGGTGAAAGTGTCGCCATCAAGCTTCACTATTGCACCCGGGCAACGAAAGACTTTTACGGTGACTGTGGTGGTGAAGTGGGCTTCACAGTCCTTCAAGTTCGGCAGCCTCACGTGGGTGGACAACAAAGGGCACTCCGTGCGGTCCGTGCTGGCCGTGCAGCCGAGTAGTGCATGCTGGTTTGGCTGCTAAGGGAGTGATCCTACGCCTCTTATCAGCCACCCCTCTTATCAGACTCGTGTGGTTCACTGCATTTCAGTTCAGCGCTGCTGAATGTGATTACAGGGTACCGTGTTTTACTGAAGTGATGAGAGTCTGTTGAGAGGTTTGCCTGATAAGAGGCTTTAGGAACTCGTCCTTAAGAGTAGAATCCTGCAGCCTGTGCTGTGTATATGCTTTATATTACTATGTTTGGTGTGCTGTGCATTGTATCCTTTTACCTACAGTACAGTATCGTACATCCAAGGGCACACCACCCCCCCACACTTACAGTTGAGAATAGCTGGTCGAGGCTGTTACCGTAGTAGGCTTGCAGCACTTCAGAACCAGCCATTGTATTCTAGACACTTCAAGTGACATGTATGACATGCACTCCACTCTTCAACAGACGAATGCTATTAGCAGGCCCTGAAGTTGGCGCCGTTTAACACTAAGGACTGTGCTTCTAAATTTCTTTTACAAACAAATGCCGCAGGCTGGAAAGGAAATGCTTTTCGTCAAGAACGAGCTCACATCATTCCTCCTATCCTACTGGTACCGTATGTCCCACAGTCAGCAGCGAAACTGAGCAGCTGTGTCTGCGGTGCACCTGCCTGCCTGCCTGCCATGCAGCTTGAGGTTCTGCTGCTACTGGTTTACCGAACTAGCGGCATGAGCCAAGGGAGTCTCAGCAGCACCCAGAGACACTCTAGAGCCATTGGAACTCTCTACCTTGAAATTATTCGGCTCCCAACCAACCAAGTGAACCCCTCCATTCCATCCACCATCGGCACCACACCTCCTTGTGTTGTGCCACATGCCCACCAGCTTGAACCCTTGCTTTACGAGCAGCACGGGCAGAAACAGCTCCAGCGCCAGAGGAGAGGACAGTTGGAGCCATTGAAACTTAATTCAACTCTTAGAAGTCTACTTAGCCCCTTGTCTCTGGCGCGTAAAGATCTGCCGGCCCACCAGCTTGAGCCCCTCATCCACCAGAGGACAGCACGGGCAGCGAGAACACCACCACCACCAGCGGAGAGTACACTTGGAGCCATTGCAATGCTTGAAACTTCATGTAGTGCCCAATGATCCTCTATCTAGTCTCTCCTCTCTTCCGTGCAAAGATCTGCCGACCCACCAGCTTGAGCCCCTCATCTACGAGCAGCACGGGCAGTGAGAACAGCACCACCACCAGCGGAGAGGACACTCGGGAGCCACTGAGACTTCATTTAACCTTGAGGGCCTTTCTAGCCTCTCCTCTCTGCCGTGCAAAGATTTGTCTGCCCACTAACTGAGGCCCTCATCCACCAGCAGCACCAGCAGCACCAGCAACACGGGCAGTGAGAGCAGCACCACCAGCGCCCAGAGGAAAGAGAGGTCAATCGCAGCCATTGCAACTCTATCTGACCCCTCCCCTCTGCCGTGCAAAGATTTGTCTGCCCACCAGCCTGAGGCCCTCATCCACGAGCAGCACGGGCAGCGAGAACACCACCACCAGCGCCCACTCCTGCCACGTCAGCGGCACCACCTCAAACACGCCCGCCAGCGGCGAGTACAGCAGCGCCACGTGGAGCCCCATGGACGCACCAACGGCCAGGATGAGCCACTTGTTGATCCACGGTGGAGATTGCAGTAAACTGCGGTACTCAGAGACGGAGCTGAGGGCGAGCAGCATCTCGATGGTGACGAGCGTGGTGAGTGCGAGGGTCGATGGCTTGGTGGTGCCGCTCGTGAAGTAGTCGCATGGGGTTGGGAAGGAGACGACGCCGCCTCCTGCTACTGTGTAGGAGAGATGCGGGTTGAAGGGAGATTCTGGTGCCGGGGCAGGTGCGGGTGAGCCTACTCCTGCTCCTACTGCTGCTGCTGCGGTTGCTGGTGGGTCTACCAGAGGAGGGGCGGTCAGAGTAGCAGCAGGCACGGACCAGACAGAGCAGGTTCGGGAGTGAGACAGCTGCTCCCACGTCACAGCCGAATGCCCATCCTTGTCCAACCCAAACGGTGCAAACCACCCTCCATTTCCGCCCCCCATCCCCGTCCCCACCACACTCTCCTCCACCACCCCCAACCCCATCTCCACCCCTCCACCACCCCCTCCCACCACCTCCCCATTCAAAAACCACACGGAAAACACCCCAACGGTCGCAGCACCGATATACGCCCCCAGCACCCCAAACCGCACCAGCACCCACGGCGACACGAGCCCCTGGTCCCTCTCCCTCGGCGGCCGTGCCATCACATCAGCCATCACATCAAAATGAGATGTGCGGATTTTGCGGCGCTACAGGACATCGTATCTTGGCGTGTTGGAAAATGAAGAAACTGCGTGCGGAGCTGAGGGACAAGAACAGTGTGGCATCCATGAAGCAGAAAACGAACAACGTGGCAACTTCGGAGAGGGCAAAAAAAGGAGAATATGGTGGCGCAAATTTAAAACGTCACGACCAGCCGGCACCAGGGGAAATCGCCGAGACTAAAGGAGGAGTACTCACCCGCGATCGCCTCAGCGTAAGAGTGCGGGGTCGGGATGTCTGGAGCATTCGGGTCTCCCTTAGGGACAAGCAGCATGAAATGAGGCGCAACGGCTGCAAGACACTCAAAGTTCTCCTGCCTGTCCTCAAGGACGTCCGTGCCAAGAGCACACTCACCCCTGACGGACGGAGGACAGACAGACTCAGACCCAGCAACAAGACTAGCAGCGTAGTCTAGACGACAGGCAGCAGCAAAGTTAACAAGCTTAGAGACTAAGGCAGACGCATCAGTAGACTCAAACGACGGGTCAGTGACAACAGTGGCGAGCAGACGCGTGACAGTAGGGTGAGCAGCACGAACCAGGTCAGACTTAGGGTCCTGAACGTGAGGCAGAGAAGATGCAGGAGGAGACGATAGGGGAACACGCTGTGGAACAGAGGAAGGACGAAGTGCCATAGGGTGCGTGCCAGGGACAGGAGGCGGTCGCTCACGAGGAACACGACGACCAATGCGACCAGCGCGAACAGGCGAGGCAGGACGAGACACAGGCTCACGACGCTCTGTAAGCGAGTTTGTCTGCTCAGTGTAAGGAGAAGGAGCGGACAGTGGTGCGCCGGGCTGTAACGGGAGGCCAGTGGAAGACGGGAGGCTAAGAATCTGGCGAAGCACGGAGTCAGGCGGTGGTAGAGACGACGGTGACGGCGGAGCGAAAAACAGTCGCGACGGTGCAGTGCCACCAATATTCCAGCGCCTCCAGCAGCTCCAGAACCGCCAGCAGCAGCACCTCCAGCTCCAGTGACTCCAGCAGCAGCACCTCCAGCTCCAGCGCCTCCAGCAGCTCCAACCCCTCCAGCAGCTCCAGAACCTCCAGCTCCAGCGACTCCAGCAGCAGCACCTCCACTTCCAGCGCCTCCAGCAGCAGCACCTCCAGCTCCAGGGACTCCAGCAATAGTACCTCCAGCCCCAGCACCTCCAGCAGCTCCAGAACCTCCAGCTCCAGCGCCACCAATAGCAGCAACCCCAGAACCGGCACCTCCAGCCTCAAGGTCCCCAACTCCAGGGTCGATAAGACCAGCGCCAGGGCCTCCAGCAACAGCACCCCCAGAACCGGCACCTCCAGCTCCAGGGTCTCCAACGCCAGGGTCGACAGCACCAACTCCAGGGCCTCCAGCCCCAGTACCTCCAACAGCAGCACCCCCAGAGCCGACACCTCCAGCTCCAGGAGCAGTACCAGTCCCGGCAGCTTCAGTACCTCCAGTACGAGCACCTCCAGGACCAGAGACACCAGCACTCCCAGCGCCTCCACGACAAAAAGCTCCAGCAGCACGACTCCTCAGGCGGGTACGCGACGCAAGCCACTCTCGGCCTGCTGTGGTGAGACAGGCCCGCGTCGCGAAACGAGACCCAGAGGAACGCCAGCAGACTCAGCACCCCCAGGCTCCGCACCCCCCGGCACCTCACGGACGGGCTCAGCACCCCCAGACTCCGCAGCCGCAGGCTCAGCACCCCCAGGCTCCGCACTCCCCAGCACCTCACGCGCAGGCTCAGTACCCCCAGGCTCCACACTCCCCAGCACCTCACAAGCAGGCTCAGCACCCTCAGAAGCAGCACCCCCAGCAGCACCTCCTGCAGCAGCACCTGAGTCGCTAGTGACCTCTACAAGCTCAGCCAAGGGGGGCGGGTCTACCTGAGACACACCTGAAGGAACAGGACTCTGAGGGGGGAGGGGGTCTACCGGAGGGGGACCTGGAGCGAGGAAATGCGGCGGGGGAGGGAGAGGGGCAGTGCGGTAGGGGAAGTGACGGTAGAAAGGAACCGACTCGTCAAAGGTGACGTCCTGAGAGGGGAAGACACGGCGTGAGGTGGGGTGGTAAAACTGCCAGCCAGGCGTGTCAGGGACAAAGCCAAGGAAGACACAGGGAATGGTGCGGGAGGAGAGCTTGTCCGCGGACGTCTCGCGGACAAGGGCATGAGCACCCCAGACCCGGAAACGCGACGCATCGCCAACCTTCCCCGTCCAACGTAGTGTGGGCGAGGTCTCCGGCAAGGAGACACGGGGCCAGAGGTTGAGCTGCTGCGCGGCGTACCGGACCGCAAACGGCCACAGAAAATGGGGAGCCGTCGCATGAATCAAGGAAGTACGAGCGACCTCCATGACTAAGCCAATGCGGCGCTCAGCAACCCCATTTTGCTATGGTGAGCCCGGAAGCGTGAACGACTGCTCGATGCCCTCCCCCTGACAAAAGGCCCGCAAGAGGTCGGAGGTGAACTCACCACCTCTGTCAGAGTGCAGACGCAGGACAGGAAGGTCCTGGCGGAACCTGCGGCGGAGCTGGAGACAAACTGCTCGGATCCAAGGGATCAGGACTGCAGGGACCTCACCCTTTGTGCGCAAGGGGAAGAACGTGGTGTACTGCGAGTAGTCGTCGACAACCAGCAGAAAGTACCGCTCACCACCCAGTCCACTAACGCGGGCTAGGCCCCACACATCCAGGTGGAGGGTCTGCAGAGGAGCCTCTGTTGGGGGAAACGAGGAGGAGTGAGGAGCGGCGCGCTGCCGCCCCTCGACGCAAGGAAGGCAGGGCGACGCAGGCGAGGCAGAGAGGGGAGGGAGAGACCTGGGAAGACCAGACACAAGGAGGCGACGGTGCATGCCACGTAGATGTGGCAGAGAGGGGTGGCCCAGGCGGTGGTGCCAGAGAAGAGTCTGGTGCGACAGGGAGCGACACTCACAAGAGGAGGCTTCCTGACCTGATGCAGAAACCTGACCAGTAGCAGCTACCTGAGGAGGCGCAGTCGTCAGTGTGTAAAGACTCGACCCTGGTGGACGGGTAAACGTGGCCAGGTGGCGGCCGGTCAGTGAGCACGTACAGATCGCCACACGCTGTCCTCCAGGGGTAAAGGTGTCAACCCACTGGTCCTGGAGAACGACGTTTCTCATCAAGTTCGTAGAGAACGAGGGGAGGTGGAAGCCTGTCAGTGAGCCAGACGGAACCGCCGGGCACGGAAGCATAGTGGTGGACCGTGCAAGAACTGGGCCCCCTGAGGGGTCAGCCAGAGAGACTGCAACAGGTGCAGGGAGTGGTGTGAGTGCAGTACTATGACGGAAGAAGCAGCGGGAAGCACCTGAGTCAAGCGTGAAGGTGTGCAAGGCCTCAGCAGGCGCAGTACCTGAGGAAGCAGACTCGCTAGCACCTAAGGCAGCAGCCTCACTAGCACCTAGAGTAGCAACCTCTATACCGGGGTCGTGCTGTACACACAGGTGACAGTCACTCTCAGCACCACCAGGCAAAGTAGACATGGCAGAAAGGATGGCGTCATAGTCTAAAGCAAAGACAGCAACGCCCGACCTAAGCAGCTCAAGCCAGGGGGGGATCTCAGCCTCGTCGCCAAACTCTCTGCGCCAGGCGTCAGTCAAATAGGCGAAGCAGCGGGACTGTGCGTGACTAGGTGTCCCACAGGTCTCACCAGCTTGACGACCTGTGCGAATGACGTACGGCCAGCGACCCGGACTTGGAGACGGCCCACGCAGGTAAAGCCACTCACGAAGCTGCCGGGGCGTAAAGGTCGGACGCCGCCGTAGCTGCATCTGGCCACCGCCAGACACTCCGCACCAAACAGCGCCACAGTGACAGCTACTACGGCCGCCACCACTTCCATTGCTGCCACCACCGCCGTCACCACTCCCACCGGTACGACAAAGGGACGTCATGGCGGGCAAGCTAGGAGGGGCGCGACCTCTAGGGCAGTACGGAGTGAAGGCAGTAGCACGAGTAGCAGCAGCAGCAGTAAGAGTAGCTGGGCGGCGCGCGCCACAGAGCCGCCCAGAGCAGGGCGGCGTGTAGCCAGAGCAGGGCGGCGCGCGGCCACAGCAGGGCAGTAACAGGCAGCAGCAGGTAGTAGCTCCTAGGGCAAAAGCACCTGGGGCCCTTTTTTAAAAGAAATATATATATATATTTTTAAAAAATTGTATATATATTTGTTTTATTTAGGGTTAAGCAGGGCGCGGGCGCAGGGCAGGGCGCTGGCGCAAAGCAGGGCGCCAGCGCACGCAGGGCAGGGTGCTGGCGCAGGGCATGGCGCTGGCGCAGGCTGTAGCAATGTGTGACGCGAGGGGCAGCATAGGGCGACGCGACTGGCTGCCTTAGGGCGCGACGCGCGGGCTGCAGCAGAGCGCGACACGCGAGGCAGCAGCGCACAACTCGTGGGCTGCCTTAGGGCGCGACGTGCGGGCTGCAGCAGAGCGCGGCGCGCGGGGCAGCAACGCTCGACGCGCGGGCTGCCGTAGGGCGCGACGCGCAGGGCCGCAGCGCGGGCGTAGGGCAGGGCGCAGGCACAAGGCAGGGCGCTGGCGCAGGGCAGGGCGCTGGCGCAGGGCAGGGCGCTGGCGCAGGGCAGGGCGCCGGCGCAGGGCAGGGCGCTGGCGCAGGGCAGGGCGCCGGCGCAGGGCAGGGCGCTGGCGCAGGGCAGGGCGCTGGCGCAGGGGAGGGCGCTGGCGCAGGGCAGGGCGCTGGCGCAGGGCAGGGCACTGGCGCAGGGCAGGGCGCTGGCGCAGGGCAGGGCGCTGGCGCAGGGCAGGGCGCTGGCGCAGGGCAGGGCGCTGGCGCAGGGCAGGGCGCTGGCGCAGGGTGACGCCAGGCAGGGCAGGGCAGGGCGTGCGCGAGGCAGCGCAACGCGGGGCAAGGCAGGGCGTGCGCGGGGCAGCGCGACGCAGGGCAGTGGGGTAACGCGGTAACCGCAGTCGGTAGTAATTTAAGGTGGGCCCGAAATAAAACGGTCCTACGGACCTACTGCTCTGAAACCATGTCAAGATAGCAAGCAGGAATGGTTGCATTGAATGAAATGTGGGTACAAGTACTAACCCTAACTTCGGATTGTACCCCATATGGGCTACCCCTCTATAGCCTACACAGAACTAACACGTATATAGTTTCACAACAACGCCCAATGAGGCCCAACTCACTTGCTCACTTGCCTCGATCACTCGCTCACTTGCCTCGCTCACTTGCTCACTCGCTTCACTCAGTCACTCACTCACCCACTCACTCACTCACCCACCCATTCGCTCACTCGCTCACTAGCTCCGTTCACTCGCCTCGCTTACTCGCCTCAATCATTCGCTCACTCGCCTCATTCACTCGCTCACTCGGCCAACTCACTCGCTTGCTCGCCTCACTCACTTGCTCACTCGGCCAACTCACTCGCTTGCTCGCCTCACTCACTCGCTCACTTGCCTCAAGTCCGTAGCACAGGGGCCTTGTGGTCGCATGAGTTGCGTTGTTTTAGGCAAACTTGAAGTTTGGTACCTGTTGATCAGAGAGGAGTACGGGATACAACGTTCTCGGGGAAGGCATTCGGAAGGCGTCATGAGGGGCGCTGCACGGTGAGGCAAGGAGAGGCTGGAATGGCGGCCGTAGAAACAAAAGCGCCGAGGAGAAGATATTCGTGATATAGCGTGGCAACAAAAATGCGTTATACAAAATGACACAGCGAGAAGTGTCAGAAGTCCACTGGTGATCCCCGATTGATCCTAGGGAAGGGTTACAGGCTCGTTATCATGGGGGGTTATGGGCGCTCTTACCCGCTACACAAACAAGCCCTTTTATCCCAATGGTCTAGTGGTTGGGATTCTGACATGGTATCAGAGCGATGGTCTCGGGTTCGAATCCCGGTGTGTGCACTTCGGGCATCCCAGTGCGGGGGGGTGTCAGAGGTCCACTGGTGATCCCCGATTGATCCTAGGGAAGGGTTACAGGCTCGTTGTCCTGGGGGGTTATGGGCGCACTGACCCGCTACTTAACAAGCTATTTTATCCCAATGGTCTAGTGGTTGGGATTCTGACAGAAAGAAGCTATGTAAAAGAGATGGGAATTAGATCCATATATTTTGTTTGTAAGGCAAATATCCTAACCATTGGAATGCTACGCTGTAAGGGCGCGGATGGTGTTGAACCCGGGCGTTTGTTCCTCACCGCCTACTTGGATGCTTCATATGCATCGGAACCAGAGGACATGACAAGTGTTGGAGGGTTCATTTGCTGTGTTGGTGGAGGCCCAACTGCTTGGGAGAGCAAGAAGCAGGTTGATCAAGCATTGAGCTCGGTGGAGTCCGAGTACATGGCACTCTTCCGTGCCGTACGGGAGATTGTGTGGCAGCGGCGTTTGTTGGCTGAATTGGGGGAGGAGCAGCAAGGACCTACCCCACTGTACTGTGACAGCCAGGGTGCCATTGCTCTTGCTAAGAACCCTGTGTTGCATGGACTCATGAAGCACATGAGGGTGAAGTGGCATTGGACGAGGAGCATGGTAACCGCGGGTGAAGTTGAGTTGCGCTACGTGAAGACCACGGGGCAGCTGGCTGACATGATGACCAAGAGGCTGGTGGAGCAGCAGCATTGGAAGTGTTGCAAGCTGGCTGGGATGGCTCTGAACTAAGAGAGCAAGATCCTAAGGCCAACAATCCGAGGGGGGGTTTGTTGGTGCAACCCTACGGTTTGCACTCGGCTTGTTGTCCGTGTGCGTGCATGCGTGTGTGCATGGAATGGAATGAGTGTATGAAATAAATATATATTTCATGCTTATAATAGTGTGTGAATGATGGGTCATGATGTCGAGTGTGTGTGTCAAGTCAATAGCGAATTATCGCTAGTCGCATGTAACGTGGTCGTTTTGTGTGTCCCGCGTGGTTTCTATTTTGTCGTGCGCGGTTTCTATTTTGTCGCTTGTCGAACGTTCGGCGTGTCGCAGGTGTGTGCAGCAGACCCATCAAGAACTCAAGGATGAGTTTGTGATGAAGAACCCGAGCCCCTGGTGTCAACATTCAAGTGATCGCGAAGCTCGCCAAAAGGGTACACCTCAAGATATTGAAGATAGTTACATTACTTTGTGTAGTGTAACATTTCAGTTGGTGTAGGCCCTTGTGAAGGGTAGTTTCGAGACCCTTCTTGGTTGGGGACAGTGTGGCACTGTTCCACATCACTGTACCTCGGCTCTTGGGGTTTGTAGGAGCTGGGAGTCATTCCCAACTCGTAACTCTTCCTAACTCTTCCTATTGTGTGTTCTAAGACTATAGTGGCTGCCATAGTGCCGTTCGTTCAAACCGACACTGTGTCGTCAATACTTGGTGAAATCGTGCGATCTAAATTGTCTATTGTAGGCGACGTTAAGGCGCTCCAGATCCAAGTTGAATCAGGTCATTTGAATTTGTGACCAGAACGCTATGAACGTTTGAAGCCGCTGTGCAGAAATCCGACTGTGCACTCTATCTTTCGTTTTAGGCACATTGGAGCCGATTGTGACTATAACAGTGCTATCCTTGACTTATCCTCTCGAAGTAGCGCGCGGACAGCATGGATAATGCACTTTGCTCCTCCCGGGACCGCGACGCCTAACTGGACTGGGAGAAAGAAGGCCCTGATCTTGGGACCGAGGATCTGCAGCGCTGCTTTTGCGGCTACCCGTAGAATAGCTTCCCCAATGGCGATTGGCCTTACTCCACCGTGAGGCTTCTCTAGCACGATGAGACGGGATGGGAGGAGCAGGTCTCTCACGTCCTGGGGCTGGTAGGTACTTAGCAACTGGTTTACCACTTCAGCGAAAAGTATGAGCAGCTCTTCGTTGGCCAATGCAGGGTCTCGAAGATGCTCGAAACACGTGCCCGAAGGGCCTGCCCCAAACCCGTTTGGGCATTTCGCTAACACTTCGCGGAGTGTGTCCAGCGGGACGTTGAGTTCGCTCTGGGTGATGCCGGTTACCCAGGCCGGGGTTTGTATCGCTGCTGCAGGGTGTTCGCACGCAGGGCTTCCAGCGTCGCCGGGGTGGCTTCCGCGAGTGGCTTGTTCGCAGGGCCGACACTGCCTTTGAAATGTTTCCTTTTTTCACTAAACCTTCTGCACGCGTGCAAATTCCTTCCTCGTCAGCCTGGTGCCGTACCGGGCCTTCTGTGGCGGGAATGACCCCTGCCTCCTCGAAGAGGTCAGCCCAATCGCCACGCTGGAACTTGTGGAGGCGGGCCTCAATGCATGCCCAGCGGCTTCCTGTGACTGGCTCTTGTGCAGGTCTAAGGGTAAGTCTAGGTAGGAAGTGAAGAATCTTCCAGCCACCTGGGCAAGCGGGGAATTTCCGCAGACGGAAGAGTGTGGCCAAGAGACACAAGCAGTATCGGTCTAGGATCTGCGGTGGTAATCGTCGCACGAGGAACGGCTGCTCTCCCCTCTGGAGGATGTCCACGTTCCACTCCCCTGCCACCTGCCAAATTTCGTCCGTTTCTGCCAAGTCGGATGGTGACGGGACATCCGTATCCTCTGTGGCAGCCTCGCCAGGCTCTTCCCCATTCTGTGCGGTTGGAGCTGCTCCCTCTCCCCCCGTTCTGGCTCGGTTGTTTCTTCCTGAAACTGGCTCCTCGTCCAACGAGATTTCTTCAGACTCAGCTTCCTCCTCGCCCATAAACTCAGGGTCTGAGACTGCATTATCAGATACTGCTCGCTCCTCGTTCGCTGGTGCAATAGTAGCCACAGGTTCTGGTCGGTCGTGGCGTTCCCGCCAAGGGCCGGTTCTCGCTGGGATCTCCGTTCTGCCTAGCGGGTTGCGCCCTCCTCCCCCCGCCCCCCTCGAAAACCCCCGCGTGTACCCCCTGCCTGTGCCCGCGTCGTGCCAACCGCATTTGCCGCTACAGTGCCCCCATTGTTGCCTGGGGCCGCGATCCCGCCGCGTCCTGCTGGCATCCAGGGTGTACATCCGCCACGTGGCAGTCCCCAGGTTATCGCACCGATTCTCGCGGAGCGCCTCGTCCCCTGTGCAGCAGCTCCCGTTCCTGTACCCGTGCCTTCTGCTAACGTCGGGGGCCGCTGTTTCCGGTGCTGCCTCAGTGGATTGGAACCTCCGCGGCCTTGGCGCCGCTGTCTGCGGATCCGCCTGCTCCGTGGGTCTCGGTGGTGGCCCCTCTCCCTGTGATGGCGGCTGACGCGCTGGCACTTGTGGCAGTTGCCCTTGCAGAAGCCAACCCATTAGGGGTCCCGGGGCGCCAGGTCCCAGCCCTGCTCCGGGCCGTCTCGGCGCTGGCTGGGCTCGAAACTTCTTCCCCCCCTTCCCGCGAGCGGCGGGGGCACTCTCGCCGTTCCCGCGACCCCGTCTATCGTTCGCCACCTGGGCGTGCCCCTGCGTGTCTGCGCCCACGGCAGCAGCAGGCGTTCCGGCGCCACACAGCGGCAGCCGTTCCCGACCCCCTCGGTCGGGGCTTCGTTCTGTTCCCCCGCTGCAGCAGCCATCACCGCCGCCAGCACAGCAGCCGCCACTGGCGCCGGAGACGCGGACAGCGCTGCCTCCGCGGACTGTTCCTGAGCGACAGCCAGCCTCTGGCTCTCCCCCTGCCGGAACTTCTTCATGGCCGAAGCCACTGCCAACCCAAGGAACCCAACTTCTTCGTGGCCGAAGCAGCCGGAGGAACTGAACCGTGTCTGTCGCTAAGGCGACGTATGTCTCCACTGCCAACCCAAGGAACCCCAACGTAGGAAAGGCGACCCTCGTAGAGGCGATGTTTATTTTCCGAGGCCTCCCTGACTGCCCACCCCGGCGGCTTCCGCACCCTAGTGTCCGCTTCTGGAGCACCGGGTCTGTCACCGTGACGCCAGTGACCTAGGTCTCCGCTGATTCCCTCTTTTGGAATGCCAAATCCGCTCGCTTGCGGGAGGACCGGGGGTGAGAACACCGATGTCTCGTGGAAAGTATTGAAACCCGCTTCCCTAGCCATTCTGAGGGCTGCGTATACCAGGGCGTTGTGTGTCCTTACCACGTCCCCTCCTTCCCCACACCGCCAGCAGGTGGATCAATGTCCGAGTTATCCTTCCTGCATGGGCACTTGACCGTGACCGGCAGAGTCATCCCGAGTCGGAAGCCGAGCGCTAGCGAGAACTGACCAGGGGAAAATGTAAGGTCAGATCTCGTCGGCACTGCGTGCAGCCAATCTCCAGCTCCCACCCCTCTCAGACTAACTAGCCGGACCCCATGGCCATGGTCCTCTCTCGGCCTGTCGACCATTGTATCCGAGAGAAGCTCCCTCGCCCGAGCCGTGTTGATGTGCTTGGAGAGAAGCAGCTGCAGGTTTCCCTGTCCCTGCGGTCCCTCCCTGTAGGCTTGCAGGGCTACCTTTGCCTCCACCGGCAGCCCCTCCTCTAGCGTCACGATCACGTTCACCGCCGGCGGTGGTGGGGCCCAATCCCGCGAGAGTAAGGTCGCTGCGCGCGCTAGCAGGTCCGAATCAGGAAGGTTCATCTGTTGCAGGAGGTGGTGAGCCGCTGTCAGCGAGGCGATGTACGTTGCTGGGGCCTCGGAGATTGGGTCGATGATGCTCAACCCTCTGAGGCGGATTGGCAGGGTCGCCTGTCGCCACAGGAGGCTCTGCTCCAGTTCACTCGAGGGGATCCTGAGTTTGGCAGCCGTAAGCGCTGCGCCCAGCAGTGACTCGCTCCACGCCCGCCATTCTTCACGATCTAATGTGCAGCTCGGGGTAGTCCGGAGAAGGTACGAGGCCCTGCGTGAAATGCTGCGGCTGAGCAGGAGCAGTGCATGTTGCGGGTGTAGTTGCGCAATCAAGGGGACCGGTGCCGATGCCTTGGTGAGCGCCTGCCGAACATGGGCGGTGCAGTATGCTGGAGTGCCAATCGGTCTGCCCAGCACTTTAATACCGTCCGCGCTCATTGTTAGGCCGTGCTGGCGGCGCCGTCAGTCCGTCTTCGCCCCTCCCCCAGTCCCCATGCAGATGACTTCCCGATGTTGCAGCGGAGTCCACACTTCGCGAGCTCCGTAACGATGACGCCAAAGGCCTGAAATGCAATCCCACGCGGGTCCCACCACGGTGATGTCGTCGGCATAGGCTATGATAGCAGCTCCAGGGTGAGTCGATGCAGCACACATTAGGATCGACTGGATTGCTGCTGCAAAAAGGAGCGGACCGAAGTGGATCGCCTTGACGCACTCCTCTAGAGCTCATGATGTGGTGGTCCACCCCCATGGCCGGGTCGACCAGGAGTCGTGTTGGGGAGTCGTAGAGCGTTCATACGAGCTGTAGTAGCTGATGCAAGTCTAAATCTGTAGCGCCGTGAAGAAGGGCCTCACGCTCGACCGAGTTGAAAGCATTCTCCACGTCGAGCTGGAGGGCTACATGATCCTCGTTCCCACGAAGCAGCGCGCGGACCGTGTGTATCACGCACTCGGCACCACCTGGTATAGAGACGCCGTACTGGACGGGGAGGAAAAAAATTGCGAATAGCCAGTGCCAGTTCGTGCCAGTGCCGCTTTGGCAAGCTACCCTAAGCAGTGACTCTCCGATCGCAATGGGCCTTACGCCGCCTCCCGGCTTCTCCAGTGCTATCCAAGCGGGACGGTAGGATTAAGTCCCGTACTGCCTGGGTTTGCTCTCCGTTGAGGAGCTGGCGGATAACCTGGGTGAGGAGGAGCAGAACTTCCTCGCTGCAGTGGGCCGGGTCCTTGAGATGTTCAAAACAGGTGCCCGACGGGCCAGCACCTACCCCATTCGGACACTTCGCGAGGATTTCGCGGACAGTCGTCAGGGGTCACAGACACTGACGATGCAGACGAACCAGCCCTGCTGGTAACCCAACTTGGGATTGGTGTCTCACCCACTGGGTGTTTCGATCATAACGCCGCAAGAGTAGTTGGTGTTGCTTCCACTAGCAGGGTCACTTGTAGCGCAGCCACTGCTTTGGAAATGTTCGCTTTTTTAATCAGCCCTTCTGCCCTCGCACAGAGGCCTGCGTCATCTGGTTGGTGTCTAGACGGGGCCTCGGTAACGGGTACGGCGCAGGCTTCACTGTAGAGGTCTGCAAGGTCACCGAGCCTGAAGTGGTGTAGCCTCGTCTCAATTTTGATCCATCGGTTCCCTTCCACCGGCTCTAGTAGGGGCCGAAGGGTCAGACGTGGTAGGAACTGCAGCACCGTCCAAGCTCCTAAGCAGTCAGGGTTCTTAGCTAAGCGCAAAAGAGGCGCCAGAAGGCACAGCGTGTAATTCTCCAGGGATCTTCGGGGGCATTCGGCGGACTAGGAAGGGCTGGTCCATCCGCTGGAGTGGAGTAACATCCCATGCGCTGGCAAGTTGCCAGATGCTCTCGTCCTCTGCCAGCTCAGCTGGGGATTTTTCGGATGGCTGTGCTGCACCTTCCGCTGCCGCCCGCCTGCTCCCGTGTTGCCGGATTGTGCTACCTCTTCTCCCATGTCCCCTGCTCGCTGCATGGCGATTCTCATATACACCCAGTGATACGCCCTCCGATGCTTCTGACCCAGACGGGATAAATTCACTCCCGTTCTGTGATTCGCAGATGCCGCTTCCTCCCCATTGGCTGGCGCAGGTAGCTGTCGGGGCGTTCGTGACGCTCCCGCCACGTCCCTGGATCGCCACGATCGCAGGTCTCTCCACCCAGCAGCGGGGCTCATCCCCCCCTACCAGCACCCCTTCCGCCTCTTCCCCCGCGCGACACCGCAGGGGGTCCTGTATTCCAACCGCCTCTTGCGCCGCCCTGCCGCGGGTAGCGGGGCTCTGCCGGCCGGAATCCAAGGTGTTGCTGCTGCCGCCGCCGCCTGCCCCGCGGCCGGTCGGCCTACCCACACAATTCCGCGTCCGCGGGTCGCGATCCGCGTTTCACGGTGAGTTGGGGCTGGCTGGGGGGGGGTTGCCCCGTTGTTTGACGAGTTTGTCGTGTTGGGTCTGCTCCTGGCCTTTCTTGGCGCGTCCTGTCCGCCCTGGTTCCCTTGTTTGCCTCTGGAACAGGACGTGGAGCGGATGACGACGGAAGCCCTTGCGCTTGTGGCGACAGTACTTGCCGGAGCCAGCCCAGGAGTGGTCCCGGACGACCAGGCGTCAGAGATGCTCCAAGCCGCCGCGCTCCTGGTCAAGGCGCCCGGAGCCGCCCAGAGTCCCGCGAGAGGCCGGAAAGGCGTCGCGGGTCTCGGGGGCCGGTGTACCACCCTCCTCCTGGGCGTGCCTCCGCGGTCCTTCAGCCCAGCAGCAGCACGGCGTTCCGACGGCACGCACCGGCAGCCTCGTCCACCGCACTCTGTTCCGCGTGTTGCTCGGCACGCGCCCCAGGCCTCGTCATCATCTCCTCGGCTGCCTCCCCAGCCGCTTGGGCCAGTGGCGCCACCCCTCGCCGCCTCCCCCTCCTGTCCCCACCTCTGCCTCCAGTCCCCGCTCCTCCGCAGGCGACGGTTGCCATCCCGGCAGTGGCAGAGGGTGGGGCTGACGTCGTCGACAGCGGCAGCGGAATTCACGGCCAGCGAAGCTCAGTTCCACTCCAGTCCCCCACTGCAGCCGCTTCCATCGTCGCCCTCCTTCCTCGTGTCGGTCTGGAGTCCTCTGCGTCTCCGTCCCGCAAGAGATGCCGTCCCCCTGCTGCCACACCACGATATGAGGACTTCCCATGGGGGTCGTTGCCACCTGCCGCCCAGGACGCTCCTCATCCACAGCCTTCCGCAGCACCGTTGGGATCTGTGGGGGGAGTCCCCTCTTGTCAAGCGTGCTCTGCGCGTCGAGCAGCGCGTTGGCGGACTTGCTTGACTCTGTTGGCAATGGTCCTGGACAGCTGCACGCCTATCAGATGCGGTTGTCGCGTCCTGGGGTTGCGCCCTTGGCAATGTCACAACGAGAGCAGGAGGAAGCTGCGGCAGCGGCGATGGAGATGCTCCGAATGTTGCCCGCGATCGGATTGGTGCTTGGCGCCCCTGGCTCCGCCCTGGGCCCGGGCCCGGCCTCGTTGAGGCGGCTCGCCCTTGCCGCCTTTGCAGGCTCCGCGGGACATTGTACCAGCGGCCGCTTCCGTCCTACGCTGGATGGACGGGCGGCTTTGCTGGATCCTGGCCGAGTAGCAGATTCCCTCCCTTTGCCCGCCTTTCTGTTTCCTGGCCTGGGCTTGGGCTTCCCCATGGCGGTGTGTGCACGCCCGGGGGTGTTGTTGTTGCACTTTTGTTGCTACTGTCCCATGTTGTAACTTATGCTCCTATAGCTCTTGTCGTCCTTATGTCCTTGCCACCCCTTAATGCGCCCGGCGCGAGCGGTGGGTTTAGGAGAAGGAATACAGAGAACAGAATGAACAATGAGCACCACAGCTAGTCCTAGGGCCTTTATGCTAAGCTAGGGACAGCTAGAGAGGCCAAGGACCTGATCCTAGGCCTCTCTCTCTCTCTCTCTCTCTCTCTCTCTCTCTCTCTCTCTCTCTCTCTCTCTCTCTCTCTCTCTCTCTCTCTCCTCTTGGTGCTGCTGTTCTCACTGCCCGTGTGCTGGTGGAGGAGGAGATCAAGCTGGTTAGCAGGAAGATCCATTGGTGCTGAGAGGTATCAAATGGTTGCTGAGAGCAGGGCGTCCGCGACGGCGTGGTGTGAGAGCAACCGTAAAAAAAATGATATGTAGCCGATGACCAGCATTGACGGTGGGAGGCAATCCAGGTGTGTTGAGTGGTCCTGCCTTGGAACATGTAATTCGAAGCGTTGACTCGAGGAAATTATCCTTCAGAACGCAGAGAACCGGTTCGTGATTCAGGTATATTGCACAGTTTACTTACAGGTACTACGGTAACATGACTCATCTTCAGGGAAAATACGTGCATAAGTACCTAACAAAAGTACCAGCAAACAGGTACCATAATGTCTCCATGTTTTTTCTGGCGCTGCTGTTAGATAAGGGGTTCAAGCTGGTCGGCAGGATAATCAAACAGCTGCTGAGAGCTCTCAAATGGTGCTGAGGGCTGTCAAATGGTGCCCGAGGGCAGGGCGGGCGTCGAAGGAATGGTGTGATGTGAGGGCTCAAAGAAGATCTCTCCTGCATTGAACGGTGGCAGACAATCCACGTGGGTTGAGTCGACTCTTAACACATCTAATGAGTCATGACCTCCCTTGGTTGGAATATGTAATGTGAAGTGTTGACATACTGTATCCTTCAGTGAATCGTTTGTAGCTGAAATGCACCCCATACACCTTCTCATACCAAGTATATACCAGTGCTTACAACGGTTAGATTACAAGTAACTAGCGTACCAGCTAATAGGTAGGTACATTCAAGAACACACAACTTTTTGACCTGCTCATCTAGCAAAAGTATACGCAATTAGGTTTGCATGGAGAACAAGAACCGAGCGCACAGAATGCCCATTGTCATCCTTCCACGTTAGGCTGCCGTACTTGAAGTATAGAACCTCCTTGTGACCACTACCTTCACCTTGAAACTGACCCGTTGCCCCCGGCGCTATGGTAAACTGTGATGGCACCACTCTCACTCTCACAGCCCCAGGGGCGTTAATCGTCACCCGGTAGGTCGATGTGGTGTCTGAGACGCTAGTCACAGTCCGCCTAGCGGTAACTTTATTCACTATGTTGACCAGCGAGATAGATGGCCGGTTTAAACTCTCGTTGTTCCACCCTCCTCTGTCCTTCCACAAGCCCCCTGAGTCGTTCCTCACTGTGCTTCACGACCCGTTGTCCGAACTACCTCGTGCCTCCCGTCCTGTAGTCTCCCGTGTTTTGTCCGCGTTGGTCACTCACCCGACTGCACCTCTGTTTCGTTCCCTGTTTCGGCACTTGTTACCACTGTCGCTGGCTTTGCCTCTTCCCACCGCCTTGAACTACGCCGCTCACTTCCGGTGAGTGGCCCTGCTCGTTCTCCGTTCTCTGGGGGTGCTCCCTGTTTTTCCCCTAGAGGTCCCTCGAGGACATGCAGGTTCGAGCTTGGTTTTCTTGCGGCTGCTGTTCCTCATCTCTGCGGCATAGTTGCTTGCCCCTGAGGGGGATCCAGACGCTCTTGACATTCCCGCTCCCTCCGCACTCACGCCGAGGCGGTCTGGGGACCCTGGGCTTCGTACTGGATAGCAGCTGAGGAGGCAGAGATGGCATCTTATAGGTCCACAGGCACTTACGTCGACGCAGCAGTCCCACCACCTGGGACGAACGTCGTCAGTGGCCGATGGCTCTACAAGGTGAAGCGGCCGCCTGGATCACCACCTGTGTTCAAGGGCGCTATGTGGCGAGAGGCTTCAGTCAGCGAGAGGGGGTGGACTTCTTCCAGACCTTTGCTTCCACCCCGAAGATGAGTACTCTTCGGGTGTTGCTGCATATTGCAGCCAAGCGTGACTACGAGTTGCACTCCTTGGACTTCTCCACCGCGTTCCTTCAGGGGAGCCTGCAAGAGCAGATCTGGCTGCGTCGCCCGCCTGGCTTCACTGGCTCTTTCCACCTGGGACCCAGTGGCAGCTGCGTCGACCAGTCTACGGCTTGCGTCAGGCTCCACGTGAGTGGCACGACTCACTTCGCGCTCGAACCTTGCAGCGCTTGACTTCTTCGTTCGTCTCTGCTGACCCGTCACTGTTCGTTCGCCGTGGCTCGACCCAGTTCTTTGTCCTGGTCTACGTCGAAGACCTGGCCACGCACGCCACTCCCGACCGACGCGCGCTGGCCTCCGTGAAGGAGGAACTGCAGAGGAGACACACTTGCACTGACTTGTTGAACTGCAGCACTACCTTGGCCTGCAGATCACCAGGGATAGGGCAGCTCGCACCATTACGCTGAATCAGCGCATATGGTCGAGCAGATCCTCACCGGGTTTCGCTTCCCGTTCTCCAAGGTACAGCTCACCCTCTTGGTGTGGATCATGGGCTCACGGCTCCACTTCGGACGAGTCATTTGAGTCAAGTGGTCCTATCCTGAGCCCGGTGGGTTGTCTCATGTACCTGATGACCTGTACAACTCGCCCAGAACTAGCTTACCCTCTTAGCGTACTTGCGCGCTTTGTTGCGCCTGGAGACACCGACCGTCCCACTGGTACGCTGCTAAGAGGGTGGCGAAGTATGTGGCGAGTAATCAGGAATGGGACTTGTCCCTTGAGGGAAGCAGCCAGTTACACTTACAGGT